AGGAAGTGTCATTTAAAAAGGACCTGAGTTGGCCTGAGTTATCATCAAATACACGCCATGGCTGTGCTCCCCACACGCCACCGTACACTAACAGGGCAGCAACTCTGATTGTCTAACAAGCAGCAGAGCCGCCCAGCAGCGACCACATTAGGAAGAAATCGGAAACCAAGACTCCGCTGGCTGTCACCCCTTACCCACTTGCTGTCAGGTACAGTACTTGTTTGTTATTAACTGTCTACTTTCAGTATCCTGCACCTGGGGGTGAACATCATCGGTGCTAAGACTTTAGCCTGTGGGGATCTCTGCTGAGCACTAAAACCATGGGCTTCCCCTTTAGAAGAGGCAGAAAATACACTTCCCAGGTTCTCACTACCAGCTCTGACATGCTGAACTGCAGTTGGAGAAGGAGGGTGAGGACTGGGCTCCCTTCCTGTCTCCTAAGCCGGGGCAGGGCTGGGCTTCTGGTGATGGCAGGAGAGAGAGAAGCAGGTAACTTCCCTGGAGGTGGGGGCTGAGCGGGGCAAGTTCCCTCTTCCAGGGACATTCCAGACATGACAGAGGTGCACAGGCACAGACGCCCTGCTGCTTCGGCAAGCTGGGCTGCTCAGAGCTGTGTCTACCCCTTCCCCGAACATGGACCGTGGGGAGTGTCTATACAGAACCATCTAGAAGAGTTCAGAGTCTTTCAAATTTCTTTTCAAATGCATTCCTGACTGAGGACACAGCTCAAAGCTGCCTCTCAGGCTTAGAAACACTTCTTAATTTTCACTGTCGAGGGCTAGCTTTGAGTCAGATCCTTTCACCTCATCAAAAACGTGTCAGCACACAAGCTCTCCGAAATTACTCGCTTGGCTTTCTGCTCAGGGTGACTGTGGTAAAGAGGTTACAGCCCACAGGCAAACCTCAGTAATTGGCCTTGGCCTGGATCCACACCTTGGAAGCCATCTCCCAGTGGGAATGAAAGGAGTGTGGGGACAGGGCATCAATGTCTGCCCAAGGCAAAATAGGGCGAACAGTAGCCTGCCTGTGGCACCCTCCCCACCTCTCTTCTAGAGCAGTAACCCTTCATTTTCTCAGCCTCTGCACGGGAAGGCTCATTTAGGCGCCTTAGTTCACCCACACCTTGCTATGACAAACAAAAAATTATCACCATTACAATACATGGAGTCCTTGCTATGTGAGAAGCACTGTATCAGGTGTTTTCCACGTATCATCGTGATCTTCACAACAGCTCCTCAAGGAACACATCATAATGGCCCCTTTGGTGGGAACTACAGGGACCCAATGAAGCTAAGCTACCCTTTAAGGTACAATTGGCCAGACCTGGATTTGAACCCAAGCCAGTCTGACTCAACAGCGACTGCGGTTTCCCCGACACTATACCATCTACCATTCCCAGACTTCTCAGGCTTAGGCTATGTCTGGTTTCTGCGACTTCATAAAATAAACATTAATTCATGAAGAAGCAAAGGACGTGAGCCATGGGAGTCATTGGGTAAATGAATATTGAATGACTGAATGGACCGGAGCTTCTATCAGTTCCCTCTCATCCGAAGACTCAGCACCTCCAAGGCTCAGATCCCCAGGGCGCTGCTACCTCAGAGATCTCTCCGGGCTCTGCTCACAGGCACTCACCCACTGCCTGACCTTGCAGGCTCCTGGAGTTAAGCCACGAGTGGTTTCCTGTCTCTTGACAACATCTACCCAGAACTCAGACTTTGGTTTTCCTTTGTCCCTAGACCACAGCCTGAGGCAGCCAAACCCATTTCCTTGGGGATCCAGCCCAAACCAGAGAGTGTGGATAGGCCAATGGACAAATGTTGGACCAGCTTAAAGAATGGGCTGTTCTAAATCACGAATACTGTAGGAAGCGGCTCTAAGGACCACAGGGCTGGGGGTGCACAGGAAGGGGCCGGTGCATACAGGAGAGTGTTGGTTTTATTTTCAAATTTGTGCATCAAGGCTTTACCTACATTTTTCCATCTGAAATTAGGAAAATGGAAATAAGACACCCCTAGGAGTGCACCATAGCATGGCCTAGCATTTTTTCAAATGATCTTTACATTCAAGGATGATTTGGAGGAAATGGAGATGCTGATTATTTTGTTAAACAAATGCTGCCTGTTTAGAAACCACACACAGACAGCTCATGAAGTGGGAGAATGACTAATTGCCGTGGCTAAAATCAACTCCCTTCAGCACTGGACTCACAGGGGTCTTTCTCACAAGGCCCAATTATGCAAATTGCTAAAACAGTCCCCCCACCCCGCCCCCCGGCATGGCAGGAAGAGAAGCTGTTTCTATTCCTTAAAACTGTTTTATCTGGCCTGAGTAAGGCACAGAGGCGACTTTCCCCTGGGGCGTGCCTGTGCTCGTGACTGTGGGCAGCAGACAGACCAAGCTGTTTCTCCTCTGCCTGTCTACACCTGTTCTCCACTTGCTCACACCCGGCTCTCTCCTCCTCTAGCAGTGGCTGCTGCTTCCCAGTCTCCGCAGCTGCCCCTTCCCAGTGCCTTCACACTGCAGCGCCAGCATGCAGTCCTCCACCCTCTTCTCTCCCTCCCTTGGTGACTTCACTCAGTCTCTTGGCTTTCAATAGCGCCTGCCTCTGAGGACCCCTGCCCAGCCTCTCTTCTGCACCCCTGCCCACATTTCCAAGTCCCGACGCGTCTTCTTCATCTTCATGTCCAACAGCCCCCTAACTGCCTAGGTCTAATGTGAAAGGCTGGGTCTTCCCCCAAACGATTCCACAGGAACCTTTCTGTCTCAGTATTCTGTCTCAGATGCAGGGAACAGCATCCCCATCCTCCCAGGTGCTCCAGCCAAACACCGTGGAGCAATCTTTGACCTTGGTACCCCTCCTCTGATGCCCAACCTATCATCTATTGGGACATCTGTTGGCTTCAAAATCTATCCAGAACAAAACTCTTTCTCAATCCCTCCATTATCATTGCTCTCCTCATTTCACTCAAAGTAAAAGCCAAAGTCTCCACAATGGTCTAGAAGGCACTACCAGGCACTTTCCCTCTGACCTCACCTCCTACTCTTCTCCTCCTTCTAACTGCCCCAGCCACACTGGCCCCCTGGCTGTTCCCCAGACACACCAGGCACCTCCCTTCACCTTAGGACCTTGGCGCCGGCTATTCCCACCTCCTCAGGACTTTGGTCAAATATCACCTGCCCGGTGAGCCCTGCCTGGTCACCTCCAGGAACCAGACCCTAGAGTGTGCAAGCCCTAGATCCCCAAGCTTGTACTCTCAATTTCTTGCCTTCTATATGAACTTATAACTCTATATAGAAGGTTATCACCTTCTAATGTACTTGGCAATTTACTTATTTATAATAGTTATTATTTATTGCCTGTCTCATCCACAAGAATGTAAACTCCATGAGAGAAAGGATTTTTTTTCCATTTTGTTCACTATGTATCCCAAAGGACTAGAACAGTTTCTAGGCACACAGTAGGCACTTGATAAATATTTACTGATGAATGAATGAATACTACACAAACACCTTGCTGTTTCATCTGACTGACACCTGGACCCTGAGTAAGGCACAGATGTGGCTTTCACTCGGGGTGTGCCTGTCCCTGTGGAATCTTAATAAGGGAAACACCATCCCAGGATTCCTGCTGGTGGAGGCCACTAGCAGCCCGCTGACCTTTTTTTTTTTTTTAATGTAATTTAATTTTTATTTTCATGAATACAAAATAGTTGTACAGATTTCCGAGGTACATGTGATACTTTCATACAAGCATGCAATGTATAATGATCAGATCATGGTGGCTGAGGTATCCAGCACCTCAAGCATTTCTCATTTGCTTGTCTTAGGAGCATTCCAATGCCACTCTTCTCATTATTTTGAAATATACAATAAATTATTGTTAACTATAGTCATCCTATTGTGCCACCAAACACCAGGTCTTATTCCTTCCATCCAGCTATATTTTTGTACCCATTAACTAATCTCTCCTTATCTCCACTCCCCGCTACCATTCCCAGCCCCTGATAACCATCATTCTACTCTCTACCTCCATGAGATCAAGATTTTTAGCTCCTACAGTATGAGTGATAATGTGATATTTGTCTAACTGTGCCTGGCTTATTTCACTTAACAGTGTCCTCCAATTCCATTTATATTGCCGCAGATGACAGGATTTCATTTTTTATGGCTGAATAATATTCCATTGTGTATATCTGCCCCATTTTCTTTGCCTATTCATCCATTGATGAACATGTAGGTTGATTCCATATCTTGGCTATTGTGAATAGTGCTGCAATAAACATGGGAATGCAAATATCTCTTTGATATACTTACTTCCCTTCTTTTGGATATATACCCAGCAATGGGATGCCTAGATCATATAGTAACTCTGTTTTTAGTTTTTTGAGAAATCTCCATACTGTTCTCCATAGTGCTTGTACTAATTTCCATTCCCACCAACAGTGGACAAGGGTTCCCTTTCTCTTCATCTTCACCAGGATCTGTTATTTTCTGTCTTTTTGATAACAGCTATTTTAATTGGTGTAAGATGATTCCTCATTGTGGTTTTGATTTGCATTTCCTTGATTAGTGATGTTAAGGAATTTTCCACATACCTGTTGGCCATTTGCATGTCTTCCTTTGACATATGTCTATTCAGATCTTTTGCCTATTTGTAAATTGGATTTTTTTGTTGTTGTTATTGAGTTGTTTGAGCTCCTTAGATATTTTAGTTATTAATCCCTTGTCAAATGAATAGTTTGCAAATATTTTCTTATGTTCTGAATGTTATCTCTTGACTTCATTGACTGTTTCCCTTGCTTTGTAGAAGCTTTTTAGCTTGCTATAATCCATTTGTCCATTTCTTGCTTTAGTTGCCTGTGCATTTGAGTCTTATTCAAGAAATCTGTGCCCAGACCAATGTCCTAGAGAGTTTTCCCAATGTTTTCTTCTAGTAGTTTCATAGTTTCAGGTCCTCACTTTAAGTCTTTAATCCACTTTGATTTGATGTGTGTATATGGTGAGAGATAGGGGTCTAGTTTCATTCTTCTGCATGTAGATATCAGTTTTTCCAGCACCATTTATTTAAGAGATTGTCTTTCAGCAATATATGTTCTTGGTCCCTTTGCTGCTGACCGTTTTTTCAAACACAACCAAAGCCATCTTGTCCATGTGTCCATGAGTTCTATTGTTGTAGAAACAGCCCCATATATCTGAAATGAAGCTGAAAAAAGGTATAAGAAATTCATTTCTGCCAGCTTGAATATCCAGCTTATCACACTCAGCCAACTCTCCTAACCTAGCTTGCCAAGAGCCACACGCCCACTTTGGGGACAAGAGACCCTACCAGAACCCTGGAGATGGGCATATTTGGTCGCTGATTCTCCTTGGCCCTCATGGCTATGGACTGACCTCAATTCTCTCCAATTTCACTGCCTTGCAAATGTTTTGTTGTTGTTGCATCTACTTCCCACACTGGTGTGCATACAGTATTCAAACGGATGGCTTGAAACTTTTTTTGAGACAGAGTCTCATTCTGTTGCCCAGACTGAAGTGCAGTGGTGTGATCACAGCTCACTGCAGGATTGACCTTCCCCAGCTCAGGTATCCTCCCATCTCAGCTCCCCAAGGACTTGGGACTACAGGTATGCCACCACACCTAATAAATTGTTTTTGTTTTTGTTTGTGATAGAAACAGGGTCTTGCCATGTTTCCCCAGCTGGTCTTGAACTCCAGAGCTCAAGCCATCCACCCGCCTTGACCTCCCAAAGTACTGAGATTACAGGCATGAGCCACTGCTCCTGGCCCATCACAAATCTCTTAATCTCTCTGTGCCTCAGTTTCTTCATCTGTAAAATCAAGATTGTGATAATAGTACCCAGCTCACAGGCTTGTGGTGAAGATTGATTGAGTTGATAGTACAAAGTGCTTAAAACAGTGGAGGGCATACAGTAAGCACTCAGTAAGTGTTAACTATTATTAGTAGTATTGTTATTATCATTACTATTAACATTAATTAATATTAATGTTAAACACAGTATCTGATTTGGATTTTTATTCCCAGCACCTAGTACAGTACCTGGGATAGAAAGTGCTCAGGAAAAGTTTGCTGGATGAATAAATAAATAAATAAATAAATAAATAAATAAATAAATAAATGAGGATGAGCGATTTCAATGCAGGGGCTGTATGTCTTCGTCTCTGTTTAGTACAAACCTAGTCCCTAATAATTCTTTAAAAATGCATGCTGAATTTTGAATCAATGGCACACGGGAAAGTTTCTGCATTTATCTTCTACAGTACAGAAAGCCTTGGAGGAACATAAAAAAACCAAAATCAGTGATAGCATTGAAGGAGTGGGGGTGGTGCCTAAGAAACTCTGGGAGATGGGGAGACCAAGTTGTGACTTTGGGAACGATTTTTAACTTTTCTAGGTTTCTGTGTTCTCCTCTATCAAATGGGGCTAAGATGAGTCTCTGGATCCTAAGAGGGCTAAACCAGATAATGCTTGCAAAGGGCACAGTTCTAGGCCTGGTACCTGCTAACTGCTCATTCAATAAGTGTTGGCTTTAAAACCATGTGTCAAGTACGGCTGACACATGCCCCTCTGCCCATCAGGCTGCAGGGCTTGACCAGAAGGTGAGGGGCCCTGATTTATGGGACAATAGCCAACTACCCAGGGGCCCATCTTTCTACCCCATCTTTCTAAATAGCTTAACCAGGGGCTTCTCTTTCTTGTGCCCTCTTACCCATGATTCAGGGACAATCTAAGTAAGTTCCTGCTACTATAACCAGAACTTCTCTAATTGTCATGTGCAAGGTATTTCTCCAAAACCTTTCAAAGAAGTTCAGACAAGTCGTACCCCTTCAGCAGACTTTAAAATGAAACTGGGCATTTTCCACTGGTTTCCTCGCCCCCAACTTCCTCCCTTGGACCCTCTCCAAGTCTACGCAGCTGATGGTGTCTTGGAAAGGAGACTCGGAGCGTGATGAATCGAGCATTCAGTCACAGATTATATTCATCTTTATGCTTGCTCAATATAAACCAAACTTTTGCCTTAGTTGGTTTAAATCCAGAAAATACCCAGCAGTTTATAACTTATCTCTGACCATTCTATGAGGGCTGTATGATTAATCTTTTTTGATGTCTTTTTTTTTTTTGAGACAGAATATTGCTCTGTCACCCAGACTTGAGTCCAGTGGTATGATCTCAGCTCACTGCAACCTCTGCCCCCTCAGGTCCAAGCGACTCTCATGCCTCAGTCTCCTGAGCAGCTGGGATTACAGGCACCCACCACCACGTCTGGCTAATTTTTGTATTTTTTAGTAGAGACAGGGTTTCGCCATCTTGGCCAGCCTGTTCTCAAACTCCTGGCCTCAAGTGATCTGCCCACCTCAGCCTCCCAAAGTGCTGGGACTACAGGTATGAACTACCACATCTGGCCTAAAATGTCATATATTTTGAACTGACTGACTTCTCCAAAAACTTATGGTTATTAGTTGAGAGAGAAAACTTGAGAGAAAGTTTCCCTGCACTTGGATGAGAGGAAATTAGAACAGCCTGCATCTCTGGTGCTGGGGAGTATCAAACAAGGGGAATTGGGAGAAGGATGGGGGCAATGGCATAGCTCTTTGCCTTTCAAAATTAAAAATGGGATGCTACTTTATATTACAGATCTAAGGAATTAGAAGAGCAGCAAACCAAGCAACTAAGTTTGTTCTCTTTGCATAAACTTGAAAAAGCCAGCTTAAAAGTTCTCAAGCTTAAAATTTGAAAAATGAAAACAAATGCATGACATGTCAGAGGGGATAATTCCTACATTTTTGGAAATGTTCTCATGTTTTCTCCATTTCATCCTATGAATGAGAATGCCATCAAAGGGGAATAATGCTATTCGTAGAGTGCTCATCACCACAGTAACCATTGGGCATCTCTACCCTTTACTATCTTCATTTCAATTGTAATAAATGAGTTACAAATCTATATCTGGGGCCCTAGTTATGTATTTACCATATGTTCACACCACACACACACACACGCGCACACACACACACACACACACACACACGCACATACGTGGTGACTAAGACTAAGAGTGAGCCTAAAAGAATGATTTGGAGTGGGAGCTGTTGGAGGGAATGGTAGGAAAATAACAGGGATTCACTCAGTCTCATTTTCTACTAAATTTCAATAAGGAGAAGCATGCTCAGCAAATGTTTGTTGACTATATGAATAAATGAAATGGTGCATTTAACCAGAATTGCATATTTAAATATGGTGGTAGTGTGTACAATATTAGAGGAAGAAAATGCAGGCAACAAGGAGAAGGCTTCTGCGATGATCTATGACACTGTGATATTGCCATTCTGTGCAAAGTTGCTCACATTTTGACATTCCTGCTCATTTTTAATTCCCAAAAACAAGCAACTGACCTTTCAACTTCCTTTTATTACCATAAAATATATGCAATAGATACCCTCACCCCATTCCTCACTCACCCCCCAATTAGCTTTACCTGGTGCCTAATCCACAATTCATCCCGGACTCACCCTATCCCTCCTTAGACTTCTCTGTATCCTTTACCCGATCCTTCCAGGTGTCCAAACAGTGTCATCCAGTGTCCTGACATGGGGCCCCAGTGGATTGACCCACGGTGGAAAGGAAGAGTGAGAAGAAATCAGAAGGAAGAATTCAGGAGTTGTGGCAACAAGAGTGGATGTAGCAGAAGGGACACAGAGAGTGCCTAAAGATGACTCTTTGGTCAGCATGTGATGAAAAGAACGAAGACATTGGGGAAGTGGGGAGCAGAAGCGGATGTGGGCCCAGGAGGAAAAGGGTAGGTTTGGACTGGGGCATGCTGAGGTCAGTAGCAACATCAAAGTCCTGAGCACCCTCATGTTGTTGCAGATTCCAGACAGCAGAGAGAGATGGCAAAAGATGCATGGAAGAGAGACACAGCAGGGTCGGGTTCTGGCCTCAGGAGCCAAGGGGGAAGTGCCTGAGAAGGAGATCCCCAAATGAGGTCTGTGTCAATGAGGTCATTAGGGGACTGGCTTCCATGTATGCCAAGCCATACTTCCTGGATTCCCAGCATTGAGAAGACCAAACGCTTCTACACATTTATTATTGAAGCCCCCTGCAAGTTGAAGGCAGAGGAAGTGGCCAATCTCCTAAGCCGTGTGTGACTGAGGCAGTTGTCAGAACTGTGACGAGGGAAATGCTCATTATTGTATCCCTCACTTGGCAAAATAAAGAACTTCTTAGAATTCTTCCCCTATGACAAAACGGGGCAGTGATTTGGAAAGCCGCAGGCAAATTTGCTAGGGCCACGGTAACCCAGCACCACAGACTGGGTGGCTTCAAGACTGGATGGCTTCAACAGAAAGTTACTGTTGCTAAATTCTGGAAGCCAGAAGTCCAAAATCAAGGTACTTGCAGGGTTAGTTTGATCTGAGGGCTGCGAGGGAAGGCTCTGTTCTAGACCTCTCTCCTAGGCTTGTAGGCATTGGTCCTGATGTTCACAGCGCATCCTTCCTGTGCCTTCACATTGTCTTCTCTCTGAATGTATCTCTGGGTCCAAATTTCCCTATTTTAAAATAAGGAAATCAGTCCTATTGGGTTAGCGCCCACCCCCCCACCCCCCGGCCTTCACTTTAACTTGATTACCTCTGTAAAGACCCTACCTCCAAATAAGATCACATTCTGGGTACTGAGGGCTAGGACCTCAATATCTGAATTCAGGGTGGGTGGGTGCACAATTCATTCCATAAAATTAAGAAGGAAGGAATGAGTGCCCACGGAATCACATGCTCACTTGGGGAGAGTTCAAAGTGTGCAGAGCGGGTGGTCATAGCCCTGCCTCAGGCCTTCGGAAATCCCCTGAATCTGGTTTTCCCAGTTCTCATAATCTCATTTCACCAAAATACAGCATCTCAATACATTCCATGCATTTCTGGTGTCAAACTCATTCTGGTGAATGCTAAGCAATGTCCTAACTACGTCTTAACTGGGTGGTTTAACTGGTTTGGTTAACATAGATCTCTGAGGCATTTCACCCATTCCTTAAGCCTAAACAAATCTCATCCAGGTGTTTAAGATATTGCACAATATTAGACCATTTGAAGCTCCATATCCTTGGGGCAATCCAGGTTGGTGATGAAAGTGGCTGGTAACTGTTCTCAGTCTCATTGCCATAACGGAACCCTGTGTTGTGTTCCTCCGCACTGGTGTGAGGGACACTACTAAGTGAGGCAGAGTTTGCATTCAGGACAGACAAATATGGACTCATGCACAGATTCCAGCTGAGTCCCTCCAGTGTGCTAGGTACTATGTCCAGCCCCCCAGGATTCACCTGTAAGCCGGAGTCTTTTGGATGAGAGAGGGAATTCTCATATATCCACAGGCAGATGGAATTTACAAGTGGAAAGACCTAGAAGTTCAGAGACAGGGGGACTGAACCTTTTGCTTTCAGTCAGAATCTTTGCTTACGGTTGTGCAAATGTTTGCACTGGTGGGTTTCTATGCCATAATGTGCTAAATATTTTTACATTACCCTTGCACATAAGCATACTGTTGGGAGGGAAAATGAAGAGGGTAGAGTTGGTAACAAACTCAAGCTAAAGAAATGGGATTTGGATGGGTACTAAGTCCAAAGAATTAACTTGAGGAAAATGAACCAGGATTCACACAGGAGTTTTGAAACATCTCAATATCAGGACCCCTTTACCCTCTTAAAACTTACTTCGTGAGGACCTTAAAGAGCTTTTGTATGTGTGATTTATGTGTATTAATATTTATTATATTAGAAATTAAAAGTAAGAAATGGCTGTAATATGTGTTCATTCATTTAAAATAACTATAACAAATGATTTTTTTACATTCATAATGTTTTTCATGAAAAGTAACTATATTTCCCCCTAACCCCACAAAATGTAATGATAAGATTGGCATTGTGTTATATTTTTAGAAATTTATTTAATGTCTGGTCTCAGAGAAGATGGCTAAAATCTCATATCTATTTCTGTTACTTATATTGTTTTGACTGAAGTATAAAAAGAAAATCCAGTCTTACACAGTAAAGTCAAGTCTTAGACAGATATATAGTTGGAAAAGGCAGGATTTGCGATCTCACAAAAAGAACCTAGGGACCCCCAGTGGTCCCCTGGCCACATTTTGAGAATTGTTGGACTAATAGTGGTTTTATCATCTTATTATATCCTGATTGGATTTCTCTTTCTAACTACACCATTAAATGGAAACCCACATTTCCGAATTTTAATCCATAATATGAAATTTTAGATACGGATTAGTGTCATATACATACATGCAAAGTCTTAACTCTTTCTACCTCCACGTTTAAGAAGTCGGTTTTATTATAGCAGTCACTATTTTTTTTTTTTTTTTTGAGACAGAGACTTGCTCTGTAGTCCAGGTTAAAGTGCAGTGCCATGACCTTGGCTCACTGCAACCTCTGCCTCCCGAGTTCAAGCGATTCTTGTGCGTCAGCCATCCGAGTAGCTGGGACTACAGGCACGCACCACCACACCTGGCTAATATTTGTATTTTGAGTAGAGACAGGGTTTTGCCATGTTGGCCAGGCTGGTCTTGAACTCCTGGCCTCAAGTGATCTGCCTGCCTCAGCCTCCCAAAGTGCTGGGATTGTGAGCATGAGCCACTGCACGAGGCCTAAAAGTCACTATCTTTTAGTTTGTTTGCAGTGAAAGTAATAGTTTAAAAAATAAATTAGAAACAGACACTATTGCCCAGTATCTATATTTAATCACAGAAATATTTCTTAATGCTTCCAACTCCGAAGTCCCAGACATTCTTAACTATGTACTGTAGTTATAAATAATATGAAGGCTGGAGCACAGTGGCTCACGCGAGTAATCCCAGCACTTTAGGAGGCCGTGACAAGCAGACTGCTTGAGCCCAGTAGTTCAAGACCAGCCTGGGCAACATAGTGAGACCCCTCCCCCGCCTCATCTCTACAGTAAATAAATTAGTCAAGTGTGGTGGCATGTGTCTGTAGTCCCAGCTACTCAGGAGGCCGAGGTGGGAGGATCTCTTGAGCCCAGGAGGTCAAGGCTGAAGTGAGTTGTAATTGCACCATTGCATTCCAGCTTGGTTGACACAGCGACAGCCTTTTTCAACAAGAAAAAAAAAAAAAGAAAGAAAATATGTATCCCTGCACCATAGGAAATAGGAAGTATTGTGTGACTTTTTCTTGGTCTTTCGAGGAACTATGTCATGTGAATCATGATGACTGCTGAAAATGCATAGGAAGATAAAGAAAAGTGACTTGTTGCTCAACTGTTTCAAGCCCAACTCTGAGTACCAAACTGTGGCTCCCTAAACTAACCCAGAGGGCTTGACTCTGACAAAGCTCTGGCTGTAGCCATAAGACTGACCCTCAAAAATCTTACCTGAAATATCGACGGTCTCACCCTGAAAGCAGACCACAAATTGTGTTTATAATCTAGTGGTTTGCAGGATACGACATACTACTTAAGACAGTGAATAGGGTGACCAAGTTTGGTGCAACTAGTCTGCAGATGCCAGAAAGGCTGAAGAAGCCTGCATGAAACTAAGTTTCTGGCCAATGGTTCCAGCCTAATCTCAGACCCTGGGAACAGAGAAGCACCGCTTCGTCTCCTCCTGCAGGTAGAGATTCACTGCATTCACCTTCGTAAGCTCCCCTTCCACCAACCTTGGGCACATTTTGCGTCCTATAAAGGTCCTCTCCTTGAGCACCTGCTGCTTTTCCCTGTGCTTGTCCTGTCTCACTCAGGTCTATGATTCCCCTGACGACACTCCCCACCCCCCCATCTCAGCTGTCGTTCTCAGCCTCGCTTATCCACTCTCATTCCTCACCTGAGTGTTCCAGCAAGATCACTGTTCTACAGAAGCTCAACCTTCAAACTTGCAATACACATTACCTGGGTCCTGCTTCGTCTCTGTGCTCTGTGCTCAGCCCTGGTGTAAGATCAGTGTTCCTGTCACTCCATCTCCTTTTCCAGGGATATTTGCATCTTTAGTAGTAGGCTTCATTGGTGGTCCTTCAGTGGAGTGTCACAAAGAGAAGGGAAAACACTCAGGTACTATGAGGAGAAATGTTGGGTACTATTGAGAAATCACAAGGACACCTCTCACTCCTACCCCCAAAGCTACCTTAACCTATTCCTGTCAAGACAGGAGGGTTGGCCAGGTGGGGTGGCTCATGCCTGTAATCCCAGCACTTTGGGAGGCCGAGGCAGGTGGATCACCTGAGGTCAGAAGTTTGAGACCAGCCTGGCCAACATGGTGAAACCCGATCTCTACTAAAATTACAAAAAATTAACCAGGCATGGTGGCAGGGCCTGTAATCCCAGCTACTGGGGAAGCTGAGGCAGGAGAATCACTTGAACCCAGGAGATGGAGGTTGCAGTGAGCCGAGATCGTGCCACTGCACTGCAGCCTGGGAGACAGAGCAAGATTCCATCAAAAAAAAAAGACGAAGGGTCATGCCCCAGAAAACTCAACTCGGGGTCTTTGATTTGGTGTGAATTTCCCTACTTTCTTTGCTTGAAAGAAACCTGTCCTACTTTTTCTAGACTTATTTGAAGAAAAACTAATAGTGATTTCCAAGCTTCAACTGAGAATTTGTAAAGCATAGCCTATAATATCTGGCATTGTTTCCTCCAGGGCTGCTGAAGGGTCCAGGGAAAAGCCCAGGAACTTCAGGAAGGGGTTTCTTGCTGAGTGTCAATGTGTTTTTGCAACAATGACAAAATGATATTGTGCTTTTAACACTTGATAGGAAAGGATACATTTCTTTCTGCCTCCTGGCAAATCACTGAATCTAGGGCAGTATCCGTCAGGCTGAACTTTTCCAATACACACTCACCTTTCCTTTGTGTTTGTTTTTTCTTGATAATGATTCCATTCCTAAGTTTTCTTCTTACGTTTATGTCTCTCCTGGATGTTATGCAGCCATCCAATGCTGAGTATGACACTCCACTGAATCACAGTAAGAATAGTGTTGATCTGCGTCTTCATTGCATCCATCAGTAGATTGATGCCCAGACAGATTTCATATGGAGTAGAACTGGCTGTGAGGTTTTCTGAGATGACTGATGGATTCGGCCTCTCACTCATGGAAAGTTTTATAACCCCAGCTTATCTCCAGAGAAGGCCTCATGTGTCAGTCAAAGGTGAAAGAAGATATTCCGTTCTCAATTTTAGTGTCCCATAAAAAAGATTGGGCAAACACAGAGGAAAAGGTACTGTGTTTACTTTTAAAGAAATGTTACAGTTTTATAGTTACTGGATTGCATTCATGGATTGAGCTGTGGATTAGGAATAATAGGACCTAATGCTATAATGTGGTTTATTTAAAAATGTAAACACACACTCATATTTCATGGAGCAATAGAGGAAAATTTCTTCTGAAAGAGCAAATATGCTGAGGAAAATCAGACTCATGAATTCCTGCACATTCCTAGCTTTATGACCCCATGGTTTTATTTGGTTAATGTTCACTTTCCACAGTTGGCTACCAAAATAGCTTTCCATTCCAAGGTTGTTACTGCAAAGTAAGGAGCTCAAGTGTCCCTCTCACACTTCACCGGATATTAATTGTTCAGAGCTCTTGCCCTCCCTTTCGCAATGTTCCTGATTTTCATACTTCCGATTGAGAAACTACCACATACACTGAGGATATCCTGCTTGGTCAGCAGGCTGGCTATTCTAAGTGGCAACTCTCAGGGGAGATGTCTTTAGTACTTCTCCAGAGTGTTGCTTTGGGGGGCACTCCTGTGCCGTAGTAGTTCTGATGCTTATCAGATCCAGATCATTCTACTAACAATGGTCTTGAGCCAACATTTGTCATTCAAAGGTTGCTCTCTTATTGAATTGCCATGGCTAGGCAATCAAGTTATTTAGAAACAGTGGACACTTTTAGATGTGCTTTCATGGTGATTATATGGTTTTACATGAAGTTATGCAGGAAAATATCTTTTAGGAGCCCCAGATACTCAATGAGGCACCATCACATTGAACAGAAATAATTGCAAGTAGGAAGGTGATTTGAGGAAGTGATAATCCCCCAGTGGAATCTGGTTTTGAACTGTGACGTCTTATAGCATTTCACGATTGTTTTGTTAGTGCCAGGAAATCTGATCTGGGAGAAACGTTGGCACTTTTACTAAGGCTCACATCATTAAAGTTTATTTCTTTATTTGAGGGAGAGAGCTTGTTCCAAATTGGAGAAAACCAAGAGAACAGTTAGTAGGACTTAACTTCTGACTCTGTTGATGTCTTAGTTATTTATTGCTGTGTAACAAACTACCCTAAAATTTAGTGGCTGAAAACAAAAACCATTTTATTGTTCTTGATTCCGTGGGTCAAGAATTCAGACAGGGCTCAATAGGGATGGTTCACCTCTGCCCCACATGGTGTTGCCTGGGGCTCAAAGATCTAAGATGACCTCACTCACGGGTTTAGGCATTGGTGCTGGCTGATGGTGGGGGTAGCTCACTTCTCCTCCAAGGGCCTCTCTCTTTTCTCTCTCTCTCTCTCTTTATCTTCCCCCCCCACTCCCTCACCCCACCCTTCACTCTTGCTCTCACTCTCTCTCTGTGGTCTCTCATCATTCAGCAGTCGTATTTACACTGAGGTAGCTGGCTCACCAAAGGAACTGGAAATGCTCTCAAGGATCAGGAATCAGTGTCACTTCTCCCACATTCTACTGACCTGACCAAAGTAAATCTCAGGATCAACCTAGAATCATGCAGAGAAGAAAGACTCCGCTTCTTGGCTGAAAGAGCTGCACGGTACACAGGGTTTGTTGGTGGCCATTTTTTGCAGAAAAGCACTACAGTGGCTGACTCCTGGCAAGGTGTTTCTAAGTTCCTTCACTGGACAAATTAATATTAGCCAATTGCCTTAAAGAAATAGAGTTATCTTATTTGGTGGACTCCCAAATGCCATCCACACTGTGTGTAAGATGCACATTGTTTCATGCATTGTTTTAAAAGAAAGCCACCAAAAAAAGGGACATGATATCAATTGTTAAGATCAATTTCAGAGATACTAAATGATGAAGGAAATATGCATATTAGAATTAATAAAAATGGTAGTTATTCACTATATAACTCAACAGAATTTAAAAATGAATGGATAAAAATCTGAGGTGTAAAAATAGGTCACTCTTTTGATCACTGAGTCTATTAATTGAGTATCAACTTACATAGATCTTATCCTGACTAAGGTGCTGATGATCTGGCCTACTGTCTAGTAGAACAGGGCCTTAAGGAACCATTATTTCTCCCCCAACCCCTCATCAAACCATGAGGAAAAGCCTGATGAGGAAAACAAGCAATGAATCAGTAAAATGAACATTTTAAAGAATAAGAGATCCTGCGAGTGTCTGGGGGGAAATAAAGAAGGTGATGAGGGATAAGTATAAACCACCTCCTTTAGACAGGGGTAGTTACTGAAGGGCATCTGAAGAAAGGATGTTGAAGCAGAGACCTAGGGATTAAAAAGGATCAGCCATGCAAAAAGCAGAGGAAGGTGCTTGTATTAGTCCATTTTCACACTGCTGATAAAGATATACCTGAGACTGGGTGATGTACAAAAGAAAGAGGTTTAATTGGACTTACAATTCCACATGGCTGGGGAAGCCTCACAATCAAGGTAGAAGGCAAGGAGGAGCAAGTGCCATCTTACATGGATGGCAGCATGCAGAGAGAATGAGGAAGACATAAAAGCAGACAGCCCTGATAAAACCATCAGATCTCGTGAGATTTATTCACTAACACGACAACAGTATGGAGGAAACCACCCTCATGATTCAATTATCCCTTACCGGCTCCCTTCCACAACATGTGGGAATTATGAGAGTACAATTCAAGATGAGATTTGGGTGGGGACATATAGCCAAACCATATCAGTGCTCTAGACCAGGCAGAGGACACAATAAGTACAAAGGTGCTGAGATGGGAAAGAGCTTGGCACATTCTTAGAATTGAAAGTAGATTGGTTTCATTGGAGCGCAAAGAGCAAATTCCTCCATTAAACATCTGTTTAAATATCTGCAAAGCAAAACAACCACAACAAAAACCAACTAGATCCAGAATTTTCCAAGTCTATCAACATCTTTGGGAGGAAAAAAATGAGCCCCATAGTAGGTTTTCTAAACTCTCTTACTAGCCAGATGTTGAGAATGTTTCTTGGGTTTATAGGAGGTTATTCATTATGGCACTGTTTCTTAAACATGAGTAATGAAGTAACCCTTTAAATGGAAAAATATTATAAATCATTAGTGTGGACAAATCATTTTAATTATGTTTCTTTAAGATAAATGAAGTGTAAATGCTGAACATGCATAGCTCTTATGCAAATCTAAGAGTAAATCAAATGTATAAATTAAACACAAACTAAACTACAAAACTAACAAAATGAAAATTATCAATATTAATTCAGAGTAATGGTTGATGTTATTTGCTGCCACTAACTTGTTGATGTTTGGTTTAATAGTAGAAAATAAACTGATGTATTTAGTTTTACTTGTTGCAAATGTTGGCCATTGGAACTATTATTATTATTATTATTATTATTATTATTATTTTGAGACACGGTCTCTCTCTTTCACCCAGGTTGGGTGCAGTGGCCAATCAGGACTCAATGAAGTCTCTATCTCCTTGGCTGGAGAGATTCTCCCATCTCAGCCTCCTGAGCAGCTGGGACCACAGGGACATGCCACCATGCTGGGCTAAATTTTTAATTTTTTATCGAGACAGAGTCTCACTCTGTTGCTCAGGCTGGTTTTGAACTGCTGGGCTCAAGCAATTCTCTCGCCTCAGCCTCCCAAAGTGCTGGGATTATAGGTGTGAGTCACCACCACACCTGGCCCTGGAACCATTATTGTTACTGTAATTATTGTTTTTCTTTTTAAAAAACAAAGCTTTTTTAAAACAATAGATCCATTATCTTGAAAGGCCAGTTAGCCCACTCCAAAATACAATATTGAAATTTTAAAGTGCTGTTTGACGAAAGAAAATTCGTGTTTTTTCACTATAGCATTTACTGCTAATTGATCATTGCTAATTTGTATATACGAAGACAGGATTTCACAACAAAACCACTGACTGAATTTGTACCTCCAGCCAGCTCTGCAGTCTTTACAGCTTCATGTAGAGATGTTCTTAGCCATTCGTTCTCCCACTGCCTTTCTCTGTGCAATGACCACAAAACCTCAATATGTG